TGTCCAAGTTTATTTGCTTCAGAAAAGTCATCTGTGGAAACTCTAATGGTGGCCAAGTCAAATTGCAAGGATTCTGCAGATCCAATTTCATCTGTATCGTCGCCGCCTGAGGAACAATTTAAATTCTAAAAATGCCTATAAAAGTAGTAGTACTTGGCTTCCTCCCTATCAAATGGAATAATATGATTAATTAATGTTCACTAGAGTTGCCTGCTTACCTGGAAGTAACTTCCTAGTTTCAAGTTTTTTCTTTGTCCTCTTTACTCTTAAACAAATGCAGAAGAATATAACTATTAGTACCACAGAAACAACAATTGGCACAACAATAATGATGACAGTCTGAGATCTGTTACTCTTCGATCCTGCAAAAGTCAAAAATCTCATTTGCATTAACTTGAATACATACATACATACACACATACATCTATATGAATCTAACAAAATATGCATTAGAAATTTCTTCGACCCAAAATTGTTGTAGTGTCAATGGTAGCAATAGTCCCTGAAATTGTACACGAGACTAAAGTGTAACTCGTCTACAAATTCCTTCCTGGACAATTGCTCTAGTTAAGCCAACTTTATTTCTTCAAAGCATAATATATTGGGATATATATACCTACCTCCTGTACTGGTTGACGGGGGAGGAGGACTAGACAGTGGCGGCGGAGGAGACGGCAATGGTCGGACAGTTGCAGGGTCAATGAAGCGATAGATCTCATACCTAAGAACACAGCTGGGTTTAACAATTATACCACCTACTTGCGTCGCCGGAAAATATATTGGGATATCTCCCAAAGAAGTACCCAAGCAATCACTGCAGAGCATCTCCGTCAAATCCGGCATACACTGCGCACTCCCATAGATTGTTTGGAAGCGGGGAGCGGCTGCGGTCCCCGCTGCAAATTTTCGAAGTGAACCGTTCCCTGCAGCTTGACCCCTTAGGTCCTCCAGTAGCGTCCTCAGCTCTTGATCAAACTCGACGACGTCAGAGGAGGTCACGTTCTGTACGTTATACGGCCGGAAAGCAGGGGAAGTTTCCATGACTCCGTGGATGGAGCGGTTGGTGTAGCGAAGGTTGCACTGATCACCTGCGCCGAAAGCTTCCTTTTGATTGGGACAGGACTGTGTGAGCAATTGTGCGGTGTCGTTGAGGCAGCCACGGCAACTGTCCACCGTGGCATCCCCTCGACATAGCCCGATTGCGTAAACCTGGTCGGGGTTTTCCCCGTAGGATGAGTTGTAGAAGCCGTAGCCATTGCCGTTGTTGGAGGGGGAAGAAAGAGAAGAGAGAAGGGTGTTGAGGTTTGTGTGGTAGGTACTGTTGGTGGTGTAGTTGCCTTTATCGTTGGAACACGATATCTGAGCAAGGGATTGAGTGCTGATCATGAGGAACAAAACGGGAGAAAGGAAGAACAGAAATCTTAAGGAGAACATTAATGGCGCCATTCTGTTTTGTGACACTAATATATCTCCAATGAAAACTCTTACATCTACAACAATTAGTGAAAAGTGGAAGAATAGTTGTCTGTCTGATGATTACATCCACAACAATATTAGAAGAAGTCTCAAATTTAAATTATCTTGTCTTGTTGATAAAAAGAAAAAAGAGAGAGCATAATACATAAAAAAAGAAAATGTAATTTATTTCTCAAATGATATATGTCATATAATAATACTCAGACCAAATC